TGGGCGTGTCTGGTGTGGACCAACAACCAATCACATTAATCTCCCGCCCCGGACACACAAGCATGCGGTTTGATTGTCTAGAGCTTGTACTGGCATATGATGTGATTGGCTGGCGCTTGTACTGGCATATGATTTGATTGGCTGGCGCTTGTACTGGCATATGATTTGATTGGCTGGCGCTTGTACTGGCATATGATTTGATTGGCTGGCGCTTCCGTCGAAGCTTGAAAGGTTGAACTTTTCTCAACTTTCGAAGCGAGCAACGTAGGCAAAGCGACGGAACCACAATGCAGTTCGGCAAAGCTTGACGTCACCCCATTCAAAGTGAATGGGAAGCGTCTCCGTTGAAGCACGCGACGGAACCGTGTGGACGTACCATTAGTCAATTATCAAATTTCACCCACAGCCAATGATCTTTACCTTAAAGTGGACCTATCATGCTATATTTGAATAATATAGTGTAGGACCATACCTATATAAGGCATATTTATACTTTTTTTTTTTTCAAAATACCAAACAGATCATGCATTTTAGCCATGCCTCATTTTGCTCAATTTGACAATTTCTAGCTCTGTTTTTGCAAGGGCTGATTCAGTGAGAACAGCACCATCTACAGGCCTGGCATATGTACTACAGCGTCTCCAGCGCTTTCGAACGGCAATGGCCGTGGCTGTCTCCTCCTGATTGGTGGAGTTGGCCCAATAGCCGTAGCGCCACCGTCCTGACGTCAGGACAGGGTTCAAATCTGGATCAGTTTTTATCAGATCCGTTGCAGCCCCTTTTTTAGAGATTTGGGTATGGAGGAAAATAGAGAGGGTTGTGTTTTCTGACACTTGGTGAGTTCCCTGGAACACCGGGGACACATATTCATGTATAAAAGACGTACAAAAGTGCATTTTGCCTGATAGGTCCCCTTTAATCGAAAGCGGCACTAATCAACATTGTCACAATTAATGAATTGTAATTTGAAAAGGAGTCTTATTTATCCCTCAGTTCTGCTGTTTCTTTCAGCTCAATGGAGCAAACTTTACTGTTTCCAGCAATAAAAGGCAGGGAAATACTGCACAAACCCATCTGTTCCCAACCTGCTGGGCACCCAACAGCAGGCAGACAAAGTGAAAGAATAACTGGGGAATAAAATGGAGCATCTATCAGTCAGTCTTTTACCCCGAGGAGCTGGTGGAGACCAAAATAGAGATAAAAGTGGAGTAAATATAGGACTGTCATTCATCATTTGAATGGATAATGTTGTTGATGTTTGTGTAACAGGTGGCCAAAATGTTCTAAAGTGATGTCAGCTTTGTGTTTACCGCGTGTAGGAGCCAAATGATAGGTCTCAGTGTTTTTATTTGTATTATGTCCTATTTTCATTTATAATTGGCATTGGGCGGCAATCACCTGTGTGAGTGAGTTGGAAAGTGACATTTGTTTTGTTGACTGCTTTTTCTACCGCTATTATACCGCAATTTCCATCTAATTTTCCATCGCCCGTCACTACTACTACAGATTGGATTGTCTGTTATTGCCTGTGTTCATAATAAACGGTCAAACTAACAGAAAGAGTCAAGCAGCTTTGTTTGATCGTGCCAAATGTTAACTTCCCGTAATAAGCCCCTCAAGTTTTGTTTTTTTTGGACTGCCTAGAGCCGCAAAAAAAAAGAGGGAATGCAAGTTCAAGTGTTTTCTCTTTAAAGCATGATTATTCTTTGATCTCAAGTTATTTATTTGGGCATAATGTCAATCAAAGTTTAAAAATAGTTACATTTAGGGCTCAAGATAAAACATGGTTCAGTTGTGTGAACACTTTGGAGCATAATCCAGTCCCATGTTTTGTATAAAGAAGAATAATACTGTAAATGATGCACAGTGATCATCCTGATATGATACTTGTCAGCTTTTCTTTGTCGTTCCAACACCTTATTAAAGCCAAAAGTGCTATCTCTACTTTCTCCTTCCTTCATGCTCTCCATCTGCTTCCCATGCTTCAAACTAAACGGACTGCTCTTCTCCTTCTTCCTCCCTATCTGCCCTTAATCACTAGTTTTCCTAATGTACACACATCTCATCCTCCTCCATCTATGTGCCTCCTATCTCCTCAAAAGACAAGATCTTCATCCCCCTCTCCTGTTTCCCCCTCTCTTGTTTCCCCCTCTCTTGTTTCCCCCTCTCTTGTTTCCCCTCTCTTGTTTCCCCTCTCCATCTGCTGCACTTTGAAAAGAAGATATGGATGAAACTCCCTCTCTGTCTCCAAACTCTCTACTTTTCAAAGTGGAGCATCTGCTGTGCTTGTTGGTCCACTGCAGTGGGGAGTTTCTGCTCCCCCCCCCACCGCCTCCTCCTCCTCCAATTTTCTCCCAATACCCTCCCTCCCTCCTCCAATACTCTTCTCAATTCCCTCCCAAAGTGCAGGTCGGCCTCTAAGTGTTCTATCATTGCAGCGAACAGCCACACTTTCTATTTCCTGCCTCTCTACCGCGGTTGAAGCTCCATCTGGAGTGAAGACTGATCTCACCATTTGTCCCTCCTCACCCCCTGTCTCCCTCATTCTCTCTCGCCTCTCTGTTCTCACAATTGTCTGTTGCAAAATGTTGGCCCTCAGCGATGAAACTTCTCGGCCAGTATCCTTCTCTGCTCTCGCCTATTGTTGACTCCATCCCTCTATCACTTCACTTCTGCTGTTAAGTGTTGCATTTGTGCACAAGGGAGTCTTTCTGTCCCTCTCAGCACTCTTGTCTCTCAGTCTTTAACACTCCCACCCCTCCTTTCTTCCATCTGTCCCACTCTCTCCTATTTTCAATCCCAAGTAACAAGTCTGTTGGCTGAGACTAAGTTGGAAAACTAGAACAAGTTGGAGTTAACAATTTCTTTAAATGAATAGATTTGAAAGGGGCCTTCTTCTGCTCATGTTCAGGTTAATATGTGTATTTGATGTCTCTACTGTGACATGTCTCCATGCTTTAATGTTCAAAAAGCTCCTTCTTTTCACCCTCTGTCGGAAACCAGAGCCCAGTCTGCTCTGATTGGTCAAGCGCTTAGAGATGTCCCGCCCCTTAGCCTTTCACGTACAATGTGAGTGCCAGTCAATAGAAGTGTGATATCACCGTGTTATGCGGGGCGGAGGGAACACGGGGGTTTTAGAAGATAACAAACTACAGGAAAGGGAAAACCAAAATGCATAATAGTCCCCCTTTAAATACTCTGTTTGGGGATGTCACATGAAAAAGGAAACGTCCTTTTCATGTCTCTGTCTTTATATTCAAACTGGCTGCTTTTTCTTTCACCATTTTTAAACCCTGGGTTTGAGCCAACCCAGTCAAAAGTAATAATTAGCACCAAAGCACCATCTTTATAATGTCAGATCTTATTTACAGTGTCACATTTAGTCATCCTTCTCACTTCTGTTTTTCATTTCAAAATACAGGGTTTGCTATGCGATGTTGGAACATTGGACCCAGGAGCAGGAAGTCTCTTGTTTCAAAATATCTTTGAAAGACAGTTGGCCCGTCATGTTGCACAAAATTGAATAATGGGGCAGTTTATGTTTAAAAGGAGCTGTTTGAATTGGACACATTGACGCACTTGAGCCCATCCGACTCTCAGGTTTGTTTTCATCCTGTTGTTTTCAGTTGTTGTGTTTTTTAGTAATGTTGGCACCATGCAATATTACACATTGCTTGCTTTCTTTGCTTCAGGCTTTTTTCTCCTGAACAAAGCTTTTGACCCAGCGCGTTGTTATTAGTGCCTTGTTCAACAAAGATTACTGTAAATAGAGCAACAACATCCTTATGTCTCCTTAGAAATAACATTCACATGGAACGGGTGTGCACTTGCAAATATGTTTTTTTAAAGAAAACATGATGTCTTTTTTATTAACATAGACTATGTTTATATGTAATTACTTCATGCATCGTGGGGAGACTGGATAGCTGTACCTCGTCAAAAAGTCATTAAAAGTCTAATTGCATCCGAGAGGCATTCAAGCTCAATTCTAATTCCTCATGAAGTATTCTCGCCAGATGTTGAAACAGTTGTAAATGCATCCATCTCTCGAGAATGCATAGATAATCTTTAGTGTAACTACATCAGTAAGCGTTGTGTGAAAGTAGCCTCTACATGGTATTTCCCTTGTGATAACAGCAGCTAATGTGGCACTGAAATACTTAATACACCCCGCTACCCAACCCTTAAACATCCCCGCGGTATAGAAATGTCACACTTCCCGGGACTGGAATAAACATGGCTGAGTGAACATGACTTAAGCAGCGTTTATGTGTTCTTCGAAACATCTTTGGCGAACTAATTTACTCCTATTTGGTTGTATTTCTCAGGATATACGCTTGTTTTTGACACTTTCATGTTTTGTTCTTGTCTCTCTCCATCCCTCCCGCCCTCTTACCACTGGTGTAAAGTGACTTACTCAAGTAGTACTCAAGTACTGTACTTACGCACTGTACTTGTACTTTACATGAGTAGCTCCATGTTTATGCTACTTTTTTAAAGTACACAATACTTCTAATCATGTACTTTTACTCCTACTGCATTTATTTAATACCTTAATATTTGCAGATTTTGTTAAATGATATAAAAAATAATCAGCAATTAAATAAGCCTTTAGTCACTCATGGACTCAATTCACAAACTAAAGAGTATTCCTACTTTCTGGTATTTCTACTTTTACTTATTTATTTATGTTTATTTATTTTTAAATTGACATATTTTGTTTTTGCGTCTGTCGGGTTTAATTGATTTGGTTTTGTGATGTATTGATCATAATTCTGGTTCAAATACAAACATTTTACTTTGATAACAAATTGATTAACTATTTGATTTGTGTACCTAGGTCCCTCCATCTGTTTCTTCTAATTAACCTTTCCTTATTTTGGACAGATTCATATAAAATATCCTTCTCTCTGGCGCCCACATTTAGTTTAATACTTGAGGGGTAAAACCTGCGCGACAAAGTAGAAGTGCTGAGTACTTGTTCCTCCTCTGCCTCTTACCTCTCTTCGCTCCGAAGTACAGGGTCTGCTGAGCGGTGTTGGACCACTGCAGAGAGGAGTTATCGCTCTCGGCCACTCGGCAGGTCAGTGTCACCGTCCCCCCCACGGACACCGTTTCATCAGAGGTCACCGGCTGCATGGGGTCGTCGTCTAGGGAACGGGAGAGAAAAAGAGAGGGGAGGGGGGGATCATGAGACAAGAGCGATTGATGCGCAACAGTCAGAGAGACGCTTATATTGAAAAACAAGCAAAACATGTAGCACACACCAACACACAAATCAGATAAACCCACCAAAACGCATTACTCGCCTCGCTCTCCCCCTCTTTCTCTCTATCTCCCCCCGCCCATCTCTTTCTCTGCTTGTCAGATTATCTATATATCTCTATCTGTCTTTCTGAAAGCGAAGAATCAAAGCGCGTACACACACACACACACACACACACACACCGACATGCTGTCAGAAGGGACCAAAAAAAGCAGACAAATGGCAGTGTGGTGGTATGTCTGCGAGGCCAGTGTAAGAGCGATGAGTCAGGAGCAGCCTTGGCTCCGAGAGACTTCAGGACCTGAGAGACCGGCAGGATGAAGAGATGGCTCTCCACAGGTCAAAGCAACAACAAGAACACTGTCTCATACCTCTTGAGGCTTTGTAACTCTCTTACTGTATGTCAATATCCGTGTCAGTTTTTTAACACCGTGCATATGTATCGGCTGCTACAGAACGAGCTCAAATGCGACAGGCATTATGGAAAAAGGCTGGAGCTGAAATGGGAACACCGCAAAACTGCCAAACAGTGAACTGGGTGTTTTCAAATTGGCTCAAATGATGGTATTTCACAGCACTCGCTTGATAACGGGTGATAGTGCAGGCTGCATCTGCTCTTTTGATTCAGCGAGGGTGGCAGACGGTTACGTGACGATGTATACTAAACTATGCAGCCTCTCGTTACAGTTAGTGATGACAAGCCTGTCAGCTATATTACGTGTTTCCGTGTTTTGTCATTGGTTTTGAGGGCAATGCTTTACCCTTCATGCCTACTTGTCGCTCAACCAAATCTAGCAATATGGCATAATTGACGACGCCAAAGGAGGGAACATCTCGTAAGAAAGCATACACCAAAGTGATGCCTTCCAACTGAAAATATGGCGTGCATAAAGAGTTTAATTAGAACCAAATTGTCAAGTGGGAGACAGGTTTATATTCGGCGTGAAGCGTGATCACATCCTTGCACCGGCGGTGGAATTGATTTTTTTTTTTTTCAGCAGGAAGAACATCTGCTTAAGTTCGCTTCGGCGGAACTCCCATCAAGACATGAAGGAAGGGGGAACACATGAAGAGAGGAGGAGAGCAAACTAACTGCATGTAGCATCAAAAACACACAATTGCAGAACATGAGCTGAAAGCAGCAGGAAGCAACTTTTGATTATTTTTTGTAATGTTAAAGTTTTATAGACGTTCTAGAAAACACAAGTTATTAGAAAAGAAAAAAGGGGATGCCTCTAGCTGAGAGGATATAGAGCTCTCAAAGGTAACGTTGCAACACGCCTGCACGATTCAACGGCACGCAGAGACTTCAGGAGCACTTTGCGTCAGAGTGAGTCTCTGTGGTGTTTTACTGCAGCCCTGACCTTGTGGTTAGTTTATCTAAGCACCATGATGGGTGAGCGCTGGATGTGTGGTCAAGTGCAGCCTGGATTAGTGTCTCCTTTAATAGCATCTCAGGCTAATTCTTGCGGCTGATCGCAAGAGCTCCTGTTCTTGGCATGAACTCTTTGGATAAATTGTCTGTCCCAGAGCATCAATCCTCCAGCCAACCGCAATCAGGGAAGACAAGTTCGACCAACTTATCTTATCTTTGCCCGCTGAAGAAAGCTGGCATTTCTCAACAAGAACAACCTGTGTTCGGCTTGGAGTGACATGTGTGCTGGTAGAACTTCAGTGGTCGATTACTTGGGTAAAAACAAGGAATTTCAGTGGGTATCTACCGTTTAAAGGGGACTCATTTCCAGAACTTTTTACACAACATATACTATTTACACACAGCAACATATAAGTACTGCATTCAAACTTTTATCAGTGGACTTAATTGCAGATTCAGCCTTTCCCATGGTCATTGCGTGCTCAACTCAATGAACTACCTGTTATACCGTCATTTTCTCCTTACAAAACATTTTCTCCACAATGCATAAAACCGCTTAAAGTATTCTCCATCTGCATTACATTTGCATAATGTTCACACCGCCAGAAATTAAATAAACTCTTGTGGGCTCAACTACACGCTCGCTTAAGCTCACCCTTGTGATAAATAATGACCCATCCGCAGGCCCAGAAGAGCTGAAGAGGATAAACTCCATAAATGCGGTGGCAAAAATGATTATTTGGTCGTTTCAAAGTCTTTTATTTTCCTTTCAAATTATTGATCTGGGGCACTGAGGGCCTAAAGGTTAGAGAAGAGGGAAGGTGCCTCGGAGATTGGAGATTCGATCCAAGGACTGGCAGTAAGAAGGTGGAGTACTTGAAACTTCTTTATTACCTCTGTTGGAGTGCCTTTAAGCAAGGCATTTGATTTCTAGCTACTTCAGTGGAGCCCAGTGGCAAACAGAGCAGACATGTGGAGGCTTACAATAAGTCTCTATATCAAGCAATGCAAGCTGATAAATATAGGCTAATCTCAGTGTTACTAGGTAAAACGTTGAAATGATTGTTAAAGGGACTATGCATCTAATATTTAAAGCTCCATTAAAGGTGGGGTAGGTAAGTTTGAGAAACCGGCTCGAGATACACTTTTTGTTATATTCCATGGAATGCTCTTAACATCCCGATAGCAATGAATATCTTAAGTGCTTTGACAAAAAATCCATTAAAAAATGTCATCTGTGGAAGCCGTAGTGCTGTAAAAAGCACGACCAATCATTTTAGCCGGCCCGGCTAAAATAACTGGATGGCCTACCTGCCTGTCAGCCTTCCATCTGTGCACAAACTTATCTCGTGCCCTCATTGGTCATGTGCGCGTTCGTGTGTGTTGGAGGAGGGGCTCTGTAAGGAAGTGGCAGATTTTCTCCGGTTGTGTATTTTCAAATTCTAGCGATCTCGAGCTGGTTTCTCCAAAATTACCGACCCCACCTTTAATACAAATCAATTGAAGTTGTACAGTATATGGCAGCATCCTTGTTTTTATTATTTTATTATGAATGTTTTATATGAATTCACTATCAGCATTATCCTGCACAATAATCAACAATTTACGTTCACTTTTTCCTATTGTTCAGATTTGTTTTAATACATTTTCTAGTTCATAGTTCATCTAAAAGTATATAGTTTTCCTTGTAAAGAAAACACGTTATTCCTGCTTCTCTTCTCAATGTCTATGAACATAACAGTCCATTCCAAACATTTCATAATTTTACAAAGCTTTGGCAACGCTAATCCATTATGGTCATGCCAATAAAGCTATGAGCTGCTATAATGCAGCTTTCGGCCTAATGGTCAAAGATGAATCAGATATATTTGGTATAAATCCGTGTGAGTAGAGTCAACAAGACTTTTTGACTGCATTAGAATAATATAGAAATGTTTAAGCAATATTTCAAATGGACTCAATCGTTCATGTTATGGCCAGAAGGGTGGGGTTCGCAGTAGGGTGCATTTAGACGGGCGCCAGAGACATTAGGCCTTTTGAAATAAGACAAATATTTCTGTGGCTGTCAAATGTAATGACAAATCCTAACAAACACTACGGTGTCAGAAGCATGTGACCCCTTTAAGCCTCTGAAACAGATACAGCTGTTTGTTTACCTTTAAAGCTTCTTAGGAGCAAAGTTAAAAGGGGGAAAATAAGTTCAGCCGGAGTTTAAACAGTTAAGTAAGGCTAAACACCCGAGCCGCGAGAAATGAAAGGAGAGACCTATCTATCCTTAGCAGACGTTAAGTTAAACACTGTGGCTTGCTCTCCGTTTTTCTCGCCTCTCATCCACTCCTCCACTCCCCCCCCCTCAAGCTGTAAGCTCACAGAAGACACGGGTATTTAAAGAAACACAATTTACACTTCTCTGAGCCGGCAACAAGGTGAGAGAACGCAGAGGTAGAAAGGCTTCCTGGGATATCAAGTCAAGGGAGGGGGTGAGAGAGAGAGATGGATGGATAAGGGTGTGTAGAGGAGGGTGTGTGATAAAATATGGAGAGTGAGAGTGTGTGTGAGAATAACAGGTAGGTAGGAGAGAGAGGAATCGAGTAAGACTTCAGAGTTAGTGTGAAGACCTCGAGGGCCCTCATATAAAAAGAAAGGATAAGGGGGGGAAATGAAGAAGTAGTTTCAACACCTTAATGAAATAGGCGTATTTGCTTTCTCTCCGAGAGTGAGAGGTGATGTTGATATCCATCTCATGTCAGGTGCGTTATATATAGAGCTGCAGTCAGGGCGTGTTTAATGGCATATCATACATGGAAGCAGGTGGCAAACAATCAGCATGTTCAAAGAGTTGATTCACTTTCACAAAGGAAGACATCTTAGCTCAACTTTGGGTTTCGTATCTTGTTTGTATGTTATTTACATGAAAAAGAAATGGAATTGGAAAAATGATTGCCACAGAAAAATCTAACATGAAATGAAATGGAAAATGTAATAATTAAAATGCTTGGCATGTTGTGTGCTTTCGGTTGTTTGATGTATTCTGCTGTTGATTTAGTAGTCTGAAATGATGAAGCGATCCGATTGACTGTTTTGTTTTTTCTGTCTTAGTGTTATTTGACTTTTTGTGAGATTTTGAGAGAGCACATTTCATTGTGTTGTGTTGTGTCCTTATTTGTGTCTCCTGCCTGCACTAAATACAGATTAATAACTACATAAATGTAATTACATATGAAGCTTTAGGCGGGACTACGTGCTGAAAATACGAGTCGACTCAGTTCCTACATTTCTGAGGCTGTAGGTTATATTCAGTCAAATTGCGGTAAGTGGTTCCCATTTAAATGTTTCAGGTGGTTCATCCGTATCGCTGCTCTCTCTATTTTTGAGAATGAACCACATTTTGGATCTTTTTCTAAATATCGTTGGGGTCAAGTATATTGTTTTTGTCCCTTTTTAGACCAAATGATAAACGGAGAAAATGATCAGCCTATTAATCAATATCGGAATAATTGTTATTTGCA